CCAGCTCCTTCGCGCTCAACCCTCATCCTGGTTGACTCTTTTTGGAAGGGAAGATCAGCAAATCCTTCCATGACCTGTTCGCTCCTGCCCAGCTCTGCTAGTTTCCCATTCGTCTCTATTGCAGACCCTGGCCATGGCTGGTTTAGTTTTACCAGCCCTTTGTAATCCCGTCTCCTTCCAGCTGTTGACCTCCCCGCCCCACTTTCTTAACCTCATTCTTTCTAATGTACCCGTTTCAAGCTTTTCCCTCCCATCTCTTAAAAGGTTGGTCCTTTTCCCAGCTGCCACCTCCTGTCTACTCTCTGGTCTCATTCTTTCCTTCGCTTCCAAGCCTTCAAGCCGTGTTGTCCATAATGCCTGCCGTGCAGTTCCCCTTCAAATCCATGCTAAGACCTTTCCAGGCTTCTACTATTTGCTCCACTAACACTGGTTTTGCCATTGTCCTTGGTGGCGATTTTACTTGGCCAGATCTGAAGCTGTTGATCTTCATGAGACTGCTTCTGTTGGTCTCGTCTGGCTCTGAGCATCAGCCAGCCTCAGCTCCCCACTCCCTCGGCTGCATCTAAGTGCTGAGAAACTACATCATGCGTGTCCTGGGCTGGGTGCATTGGATGTAAAGCTGTATTTGTTAGCAGCATACTTTAAACCACGTTTCTGCTCGTAGCTTTTACAGGTGTGCACGTTATACAAGAGGGAAGGATTGCAGTTGCTTTACACTTGCTCTTGGGTTGATTTTGAAGAACCGAGTTCGGTGTGGGCAACTCCGCCGTTTCCACTGGGACTATCGTGACTCCACAGCACCCGAGTAACTGCGGCATTGAATGCAGCTGAGAGAGCTACTAATCTTATGATTACCTGGTACAATTAATTGCTTGAAGCTCATCCACCAGCGTGGAAGCTGCAGCCTGTGTGCCAGGCTAGTCTTGATTGGCAAGGGTCAAGGAAACCAGAGGTACCAGATTACACTGGTTACATGGTAGACACAAGTTTCTGTAACCATAACCAAAAGTGGGGAAGACAGTGGTGGTGCTGAGCCACATGCAGAATTGCTTTCAAGTAACTCCCCATGTCCTTCAAAATGTCCCAACCACCAAAAGACCCAGTGCTTGTCAGCTGGTCTGCATCAGCCCAGGTCTACTATTGGAAGTAGAGGTCATGGGGTGAAAGTCACCCAAATTGTCCAAAAGTGGCACTGGCTACAACTCAGGCTTTTGTCCTTTCCAGATATTGCCACACCTCCCTGACCATGGGTTATCTGGTGCCAATTTGATTTTTTTTTTTTTTTTTTTTTTTTTTTTAATGGAGTTACCCAAGCTTTTCTTCATCATGGATGAACTCTGATTGGAAAACAGTGTGAAAACTGTAGATTAAGTAGGTATTGTATCACTTGTAAGAAGTGATCACTATTTCCCTGTGTAATGCTAGGCTGGAGATGGAGATGCTTATTTGCTTCCTACGCAGCAGCATGAAAATTAAGTTTTGAGACAACGGTAGTGAATTTAAGCATACAATTCCAGTTGCCTCCTTTTCCAGCTGTTCTTCCTTTCCTTTGATCTCCTGCAGATGAATATAGAATTGTAGACTCATAGAAAATGAGGGTTGAAGGGACCTCAGGAGGTCGTATCTAGTCCAAGCCCCTGCTGCAAGCAGGACCAGCCCCAACTACATCATCCCAGCCAAGGCTATGTCTAGCTGGGTCTTAAAAACTGCCAAGGATGGAGACTCCACCACCTCCCTGGGGAGCCTCTTCCAGTGTCTTACTATCCTCCTTGTGAGCGAGCTTTTCCTAATATCCAACCTCAACTTCCCTTGCTGCAGCTTGAGCCCATTGCTCCTTCTGTCATCTGCCCCCACTGAGACCAGCCCAGCTCCATCCTCTTTGCAGCCCCCCTGCAGGGAGGTGAAGGCTGCTGTTCAATCCCCCTCGGTCTTCTCTTCTCCAGACTAAATCAGCCCAGGTCCCTCTGCCTCTCCTCACCAGTCCTGTCCCCCAGCCCCCAAACCATTTTATTTGCCCTTTGCTGGACTCTCTCCAATGTGTCCACATCCGTTTCTATAGTGGGGAGGCTCAAACCTGGACACCGGACTCCAGGCTGGACACGGTACTTATACATATATGGCGACTTGTAGGCATGGGCCCAGATGAAGACTTGCCTTCAGGTTGCTCTTTTAACCATGGAGGATACAGTACTGGACTGTTTGTTAGTTTTAGTTATGGCAAACCATTTCTAGAGCACTAATGCATCCTTCCTCGGACTCCTCTGGAAGCACTTGGGAAGGATCCTTCAGAAACGGTGGAAATGCACCTGCAACGTGCCATTTATAGCAGAGGAAGCATGCTTCACTTTTCGTTGTGGGGGATGCACAATGCAAAGTAAGTCATGTGTGTGCGTGTACACACGTGTGTTGGGGTGGGGAGGGAGTTATATAGGTCACCTTTTGATTTTCTGTAAAGCACTAAAAGACCTAAGCCTGCGATGATAAATCAAATAGACCCATATGCATTTCATCGTCTGCAGGTTGAGAGCTGGGATATGTTTCTGATTTCATCCCGGAAGATGCACAGTATGCATCTTCCTATTAGTCAGCACATCTTGCAAGAACAAACGCTGGAAGATAATTTGCAACAGGATGTGCTGAAGTTCAAGTGTCAGAGTTGATGGAGTTCCTGTTTGCGGTCTTGAAACTAGACAGTGTTGTTGTGGTGGTGGCAGTGTGTCAACCCCCTCTCCTTAAAAATGTATTTTACATATAAGTTCAAGACTGCCAAGAACTCAAACTTCGTGCAAGGCTTTTAAAAGTGCCATCAGCATTTTATTTTCCATTACGTGGTATCAGTTTATGCCTCCAAACTGGTTGTGTAAGCTTGCTGTGGTGTTAAAATGCACTGCCAAAATGTATCTGCTTGCTTCAGGCAATTTTTGTATGCAATGATGTATAATATCATTGCCACAAAGAGGGTAGAATCTGCCTGAATAACTTGGGTAATTCAAAACTGGACACTGCAAGGCCTGCAATAATTGGTATATGCTATACATTTAATAATTGGTATGTACTATACATTTACATGCACAAATGTATTTCAGCTGCTTTCAGGACTCGTAGTAGAGATGTTTTTTTTATTAGACCAACAAGATTTTTGCAAAAATCTTTGCAAAAATTAAAAGCTTATCATCTCTGCTATGAGTCCTGATTGCTTTTCCTCCTAGACTGATCCGACTACAGCCTAGATACCTTTCAGCTGCTTTGCAACAAAAGGCCGTAGTGATATAGTTTCTCTATCTGAATGAGACTCCATCATAATTATTAATGTTGCAGAAGAGCCCAAATTGGCTCCTTTGAACAAATGTGGTCTTACTTTCTTGGTGTGTTCCCTTATCTGATTAGCCGTCATCCCTGCCCTGGCCCCATAGTCGGGGTACGTGTGGAAAATGCACAAGTCTCAATGGTTGCATCACCCAGTATCTTGCTTGTTAGACCAGACGGTTTTAACGTGGTCAGGTTTGAAATAATGGATCCGAGGTTGATCTCCCACAGTGCTAGTTATTGATCAAATGGTAAACCTGACTTTCTAGTTGGGGGGCCAGCTGCCTCTATTGAAAGGTTCACGGAGTGATTGTTAAGCACTTGCTTTACTGTCGCCAGTTTGGCAGATGAAATTTCTAAATCGGCCCCTTACCTTTGATAGGGGCTAAGGGTGAAGTTTCATGGTAGTTCGACCATAGTAAGGGCACTCTGAACACAAGCACCCTGTCGTTAAAGCTTGTTAACTTGTGCCAGGTGCCCTTGAGTGTCTCGGTTACACCACTTCAGATGAGGGTTAACTCTGGGCTGGGCTGCCTGGCTTGCGTTAGGGTAACTTCTGTCTGCTCCACGTAGATCGAAGAAGCGATTTGCAAATCCTCCAGCATCCCAGGATGCACTGCCCCCAGCCCTTCCACCCAGAACAGGGATTGAGCTCAGCTGTCCTGGTGCCTAGCTGCTCCCTGTTTGCTAGCCCTCTAGCAACCAATCGGAGCCATTCAGGGAAGAAATGGTATTAACACTTAGTGGCTGATTGTGCACGGCACGTTTTAAGTTTAGCACTGCTTAACTGGCCACGGGTTTGGTATGGCCTACGTGCAACACGTCGCTTCACTCTAAATGCTATTGAAATGGGATGCTTAATGCAATTGCTGCCCTTCAGTGCATTGAAATGGGGTCTGAAGACCCCTTAAACAAGTTTCATCTATCTCGGAGACGTCTCGATGTCATAGCCCCCCACTTGCACGTATTTAACACGGGTCAGCTTCATATGTTGGTAGCCTCTGGGTAGAGACTAAACCCTGCATGGACATGGCCAAGTCCCTGTCCTCCACATCACTAGGCCTAGTTTTAAAGAGCAGGGCAGGTGTACGCACATGAACAGAAGGCTTCGTTCTCCAGGGCTGTCGCTCCAACCTTTTCAGCGGCATGGCATTAGAATCAAATAATTCTGTATAGACCTTGAGAACGATAAAACAAAACCCTTTTATTTTATTTGGGGGGGGGGAGGATTTCTCTATAGCTCGTACAGAATAAATTTTATTGTGTATTGTACTTTACTCGGGCTCTTTTTAAGATCTTGTTTTTAAACACAAGTTACTTGATTTCCCTGAACATGTTGCATGCTACCTCCTGGGTGAGAGGCCTCATCGATGCCAAAAGATAGGGCAGCATTTTGCTACATACCGATGATCTTGTAAGGTCCCCTCCAGTCCCCAACTTCTATGAACCTATCGAGTCAAGGCCGAGCTGTTTCACACCGTGCTCCCGAATACGTACCTCTCTGACCTTTGCGGATGTCAAAGCAGAGAATCCTTCTGACCGTTTTGGGGCGGATGTTCCTCACTAAGATTAAAAGATCCATTATTTTGGCTTGTGAAATATGTTGGAGAAGCGTGAACGTCGATGGTGTTTGGTTTGATGGCACGCAAAGCGCAAAGGATGTAACGAAGCTTTGTGTTTAATCTTCTGGACAGGTTACCTTAAGTGTGACACAGATGACGGCTGCGAGAACAAAGAAGAAGCAGGAGGAGAAGAGCTCTTTGACACTGTAAACTCTTCAATCGTGTCCGGGGACAGTATCCGGTTCTTTGTGAATGTCAATTTGGACGTACAACAGAATGTAGCTGGTAAGTGCACCGACTTTTTCATATATGTTGTTTTTAATCAACATTTTGGAGAGTCCAACTGCAGTGGCTACTTCTCCACCTTATATTGAAAGGTATTTACCCTTCAGATATCTGCCTGTAGCATCCATGAGACCATTTTCAAGCTCAGGCATCTTTCCAGGGCACGTAAGCATCTCCTAATAGGCACCAATCACCCCAAGTCCTTTCAACTTTTGATAGGAAAACACTTGGTGGAGGTAAAGAACAGGTGCTTTTAAAATTGAAGCTCCCACATCTTCTAGGCTTCCTCCGAACCGTCCCGATTCCCACAAGCGCTGCAAACCAACCAACTCCGGTGCATCTGAATATCGGTGTATTTGTGCAGTGCCTAAAAGTGAACCTGAAATTTGAACTTTAAGCATGTGCCTGAAAATGTGGGTGCTATAGTGTCCACCCAGTTCTTCTGTATGCGTTCAGTCTGTGCCGCATGTGGCTACTGCTCATGAGATTAAAGAAAGTATTGCAGGGGGAGAATCCCAATTTTTGAAGGGGGTTTTGTTTCATTCAGTTATCGAGGTTGGTTGTGACCACTTGTGCTACGGTCATCAGTGGCGCACTGTTTGCCTCCTGACTCTTTTCAATGAACTGAATACAACCAGAAAGCTTTCTGTCCTTAAATGTTAACACTTTGGAAATGGCATCAGTTAATACAACTCTGCACTTCCGGATCGGTTTTGTTTTTGGTTTGATAACGCTGCTTTTCCTTTCGACTCAGTTTAAAACGCGCACACATGCACATAAAAGGGGCGAAGATGACACGTGAACAAATGCACCTGCCGTGAACTCGTGAATTTAGTAACCTTAGAAAAATCAAATGTGTTTGCTGACCCATGTTCTTTTAATGTCCCCTTTTCTAGTTGATGCATCTCAATGCCCCTGACAGACGGATCTAAACTTTTTTTTTTTTTAAGGCCGTTTGTCTGTCTGGGCAGCAGTTAACCCAACTGATGCATCATAACATTGGTGCTACAGTAAATGAAGCCAACCCATGTTGGAGGCACGGAGTCAGCAAGAGTTGCTCGTGATCCGATTATTTTGCTTGCTTTTGATAAGCTAGTCGTTATCAGGGCTTAACATCTGAACTCGGTTCCTGCCTGAGGAGCTTGTATTATAAAGGCACCAGCAGGTGCTAGAGTCTGTTTGTGTTTGCAATTCAAGATGGGATGAGGTAGGAAAAGTTGCCTGTTTTTTTTAATGGAGTTTACCTCTCCTTCCAACTTTCCTGGCAATGGCTTTTATGCAGCTCTGG